GGCCCCCCCTCCCCCCCCTTAGTCAGCCTGCTCAGTCCTTTCCCAGGGCCGTGGCTGCTCCTGGGACGGGAGCCAGCCCCTAACAACAGGTGAGAGCCCTCTCTGTGTGCCAGGCTCCAGCTTTATTGACATAAACTCACGGGACCATCACCGGCCCTGGAAATAGATACTATTATAATCCCCAGTTTTCAGAGCAGGAAACTCAGACTCCAGGAGGCAGTTAACCTTGGAACCAGAACGGGGGCTCTCTCGATGCCAGACCCTGGCTGGCTTCTATCACATTGTCCTGAAATTCTTTGTTTACCGCCAGCCTTCCCCTCTTGGCTAGAGAAGGCCCGTCTCAGTCTCATTCATGGTTTTCTTTTAGCCCAGGGTTCCATGTGTCAAAACGTGCCTGAGGGGACGGATGAATGGATGAGCCTCCCAGGCAAGCCCCCTCTGCCTTCACTGCTGTCTGGGCCCAGATCCCACCCAGTTCCGCACCTCCACTTCAAGCTGGAATTGGGAGAGGGCTGGATGGAGGCTTTTTAAGCAGCCTGAGGGTCAGAAGCAGAGGGAAGGGGAGAAGGGGGAGAAAGTGAAAGTGAAGGGAGCTGGGAGCCCCCATGAGGAGGTGCAGACAGGGAAGGAAATCTCCCGGTAATAATTCATCTGCTCAGGAAGCAGCAGCCTGGCCTGAGGCTGTGTGTGGGACCGGCCCTGTGGGAGGGGGCCGTGCAGACTCCTTCTCCTTCCCAAAGCCCAGCCCAACCGGGGTCATGGTCAGATGGTGGGGGGAGGGGAGAGCCAGGTGTGGGAAGAGATTCTCCTACAGACTCTGGGTCCTGAGGATTTAGCGACTCCTCTCCCAGCAGCCAGGGGAAGGCTCTCAGATTTTCCCTTCCCCTCTATTCCGGCCTGGGTCACAAAAGTTAGGAAAAATACCCCATGGCTGTATGGAGAGAAATCTTTAGGGCAACTGAGACCCAGAGGGGCTAAAATGCACTAGAAACCGTTGGACTCCATTTCCTGGACTCTGCCGTACCGGTTGTCACTGGGGACAAAGGGAAAGTTACTGTCAAGGCTGAGTGGATGCTGGCTTGTCCAGTCTCCCTGATGGAGCTACAAAGTGGGTATGAGTGACACGGGACCTCTCGCAGCCGTCCTCAGCTCAGTAATTCTTCCCAGGGCCTCTGAGGAGGATGACATGTCAGACTGAGCAAGCTAAGTTTTCACTGAAGGATGGAAGGCATGGAGGGAAGCAACCTACAGTGTGGTGTGATGTGGGTAGTGGCAATGAGATTCTTAGACATAGTGAAGCCAAGCAGGCTGGGGTAGACCACCCATTACCTGTAAGGCTGAAGGCCAGAGCTCCCTTATCTGTAAATCAGTGGACTGTCCTACAGCCTCAGCTGGGCCCAGTAAAGTCACCAGCAGGGAGAGCGGCACACAGGAGGAGCTTAACCCAAATGGCAGCAAGTGAGGATAGAGTTCGTGTTGTTCAATCTGAACACTCAGACCTAAAACCACGCTTGGCATACAATAGGGGCACGACAAATATTTGCTGAATGAAAAACACATGAATGGAATTACTGATATTCATGGGGTGTTGTTTTTTGTTTTTTGAAGTTTGCTGCCAGGGATATAACATCTCCAACCCTTGTTTGTAAGGATGACTGTTTCTCCCAGTGTTTTCCATGGACAATGCCACCATCACCACGGGGTTGTACGAAACGCAGATTCCTGGAGTTCACTGAAGAACCGCTGGATCCGAATGGGAGCAATCCGGGAATCTGTAATGTTAAATAAACAAAAACAAACAAACAAAAACACCAACCATTCTTAAGCACCCCCGCTGCCAGCTCCCAGTCCTAAAAGTTGCAGAACCACCAGATTAGAATTTGTGGGTGGGAAGTCTATCAACAGTTGGGTTTCTCTTCAAGCCACTTTCGGAACAAGAAAACCGACGCCAACAGAGAAGGGACCTGTTCGCCGTCTCCCAGCGGTCTAGGCAGAAGACAATTAGTTCAGACCTGGACACACTCCACTCGACCCGTCCAGACCATCCTCCAGGATTCGCTGGGCTCTCCAGTGGAGACAGGGCGCCTTCGGGGATAGCCACCAGCTCCCGGGTCACTTTCAACCTGGGGAACTGGGAGGCGGGCGCGTTGCCATTGGCCGGGACGCGACGAGAGCTTCCCCATTGGCCCGGGCTCGGCCCTCCGCCCCCGGTCAGGGCGGCTTCGTGATTGGCCCCTCCCTCGGCTATAAGGCGGCGGCCGGCCGGGCAGTGGGAGCGCGCGAGAGCGCACGGCGGGGCGCGGCCAACGCTGGGACACCGCACACAGCTGGACACTGCCGGGCGCCCATGGCGTTCGCGCTGCTGCGCCCCGTCGGTGCGCACGTGCTGTACCCAGACGTGCGGCTGCTGAGCGAGGACGAGGAGAACCGCAGCGAGAGCGACGCGTCGGACCAGTCGTTCGGCTGCTGTGAGG